TTGTTTCGTCATTGTGATGTTTACTCATCATCTTCCCAAAAGACAGATCGTGTATTTTTTTCCCCAAAAAGAAAATATTGTATTAATTGTACAATGCTATTAGAGATAAATTGGCTTGAGACTAGGTGCAGATAAAATAAGGATTACACAAGGTTAATTAAAGACCGAATTGAATATATGGAGGTTACAGGTCATAATTTGTACTGGAATTTGTGAACCATACTGCTTGAATTAGAGCTCTTTGATTATTGACAAATGATGCGTGTCTTAGCACATCATGAAATTGTGAGAACATTAAGGACGACAGAAGGAGCACCAGTAGGTATTTTTTGTTGTGTTGGTCTGTCAAGCAGTAAAATAACAGTTCTTAATAAATTATCATTAATAGAAGGAACCTGAATGAAACAATCATTTTTATAGAAAAACAATCTAACGTTTTCAGTTGATTGAAATTGGTGAAATAGATTCCAGAGTTGAAATAAACAACTTCAAAAGGTGAGTCTGTTGGGCTTCCAGGAAGGAAAAAAAAACTGTGGCAAGTTATCACCTTGATGTTTCAAGAATGAAAAACTTTGGTGAGTTGCTTTTATCAAAGGAAAAGGTTGTTATATAACAATAAAATGTTACAAGGATACCCTAAATAATATAACTGATACTAAATATTTGTGCTAAGGTAAATGATAAGTATTTATAAGGATAATACTATGTTCTGGTACATTGTTTTCCCGTTAAGCTGGTCCAACTATACGCGCAAAAGTTGCATTCTTTCTCAACCTCATAAAGAAGATCATCTTATTTTGAAGCATCTCTTTCAGCAAAGCTTTGTCTAATCCCTTAAACGAGCCTTCTAAATACAAAATGAGAAAGAGATAATATAGGCATAATCAACACGAGTTGCAATCTAGGCATGTACAAATTTATTAATTTATATATTTTTAAGTTTTGTAATTATTATTTATAGAGATGTTCAATTTCAACAGCTATCTGTTTGACAGAGCACATTATCATGAAATTTTGAACTCAGTTTGTATCATGCAATGAATTTTGTTGACATGTTGCACAAATTATATGGGGAATCATCTTTATAAATCATGTACATTTACACACTACTTTAGATTTATATTAATGGATTAAGAAAATGGCGTAGAAATTTTAATGTTTATGGTTTTTATGCAAATCTCAAGTTTTATAATTCATCTGAAATGCAAGATCTCAACTTTTATGTTCATCTTACATAACGTGTGCGTAGAGATGAGCAGATTCATAATCTTAGTACTTATTTTATTATAGGATATTTTGTTTCCTTAGTATTTTATATTATTCTATTTCTGTTGATTCTTCCTTTATTCATTGTTCTTCGGATCTTTAGTTGGATTATGGAGTCTAATTCCTTTTGGGTTGTTTTTTTGGACCTTGCCCTTCAGTTGTGCTGTGAAGTCTAATTCCTGCTAGGTCTATTTTGGCCTGAAAGAGGGGCCGTTACCTTGTTTCTTTGATCCTTGTTGGGCGTGAGTCCATAGCTAGTGTAATTCTAATGGTTCGTGTCCGTTTCTGTGTTTCCCTCTGGGTTTTGACGTTTGCTAGTTCTTGAGTATTTGCTGCTTCTAGCCTTCTATGATTTGGGATCTTCAGTTGAGGGAATTCAGGTGTGGCTTTGCATGATTTGCTGTTCTACTGTGGCTGTGACTTGTTGTTTCTACATATGCTGAAGTAGAGCTAATCTGAAAACTGAAGCAACATCCAACTCCATTTCATGTGAATTAGATCAACGACCTCCTTACCTGTCGGGAAATTATTTTGTGCGGAGTCTGAACGTAGATGATCTTCCGGATTGCTGTGTATGCACTGCGTATTTGTAGATATGCAGCAAATACTAAGACAATCATTAGTTGTGAGTATTTGCTAAGTATTTAGTGAGTATTTTCTACGTTTTTGTTGAGTTTTTTTACTGAGTATTTAGTGAGTATTGTTGATTTGTTGCTTTTTCGCTGCGTATCTACAAATACGCAGTACATACGTAATGCGTACGCAGTAAGTACGCAGTGCGTACACAACAACCAGAAAATCCTCTACATTCGGACTCCGTATAGAATAATTTTCCCTACATGTCACCACTAGATATTTAGTGCCTAACTTTTAGTGTGATATTATCTCTATGGATATAACACACATCTCTTTGTTAGGTCATATATAACTGTATGTCTTTGACATAATAAGATATGCCAGTTAACAAAATATCTCAAACAAGGACCACTTTAGATCTCCAGCCTGTCCAACATCCAAAAAAATCTTCTATCCTTCTATTGTTGGTATTTGGCTCATCTCTTCTGGATTATGTTCCTATCACTTTTGTTTTGCAGATACCTTTGGATTGTGAATCCTTAGATAGCCTTTCTCTTAGTTTTCTTTTTTGTAAAGCCTATCTGTCCTGTGAAGAATGATATTTTATTATTCCATCAGATTCATGTGCTTGATATGGTCCCTACGCCTTGTCTTCCTTTAGATTTTACCTTAGCCCCTCTTTATTAGATGTGTTGACTGATGATGACTTTCTTGTAATAGTTGAGTTGCTTTATGATGCATAGCATACTTCTGCATTTTTTTGGTATGTTATTTTAATGGTCATCACTCACTTTATGTTTCACACCTTTGACATTAATGATAAGTACCTCCAAGCTATTTTTCAAAATTTACTTGTGCTAGTAATGTTTTTGTCTATGTTTCATCTTACATTTCTGTCCCTACTACCAATCTAGTTATAAAATGCTACATAATTTATAAGATATTTGAATCAACTTATTCTTTTCACAGTTTGATTGCTGATATGTATTATTTTTTCCTTTGTATTTCATATCTCGCCATTTAAAAAAATCATTTAATTAAGGGAATGGATGACTGACTAACATGGCTTAGTTCTAACCTGTGGACCATTGTTGCGTACTTTGTATTACTTTGTATCCAAATATTATATATGCGTGAATGAAATGTAATTTCAAATTATGCAAGTTGAAATCAAAACTTGAAAGGAGTTTTTTTTCCTTGGAATCGGTTTGACAGTTATTTCCTTGGAATCGGTTTGACGGTTATTTCCTTGAAATCAAACATGCAATTTGTTTTCTTCTTTATAAGCCTCTCAAATTTGTGCAAAATCTGCCTTCATTTCTTTCCACCATTACTCACTTCAACACCCCATAACAACTCCAATTCTCATTTCTATCTCATCACCATATCCTAAACCATCAGTGAAAGCCCTCACACCACCTTAAGCCCTAGAATCTATCCCCATAAGCTGCACATACTGGACTAAAACCCGAATCTCTTGACCCCTCTTAAAGCAGTTGACTTAGTGTTGATTTTAGGACATTGAATGATGTTAAGAGCTTGTTCAAGCTCTTCAAGATGATAAAAAATAGAAATTGTCATGATTGGTATTCTGATGATATTTATATTAATGTCCTATGTCTAAACTTTTAATGGTATGTTAAATTCTAATGTTTTGTTTGGTTAGTTAACTTATTTATATAATGACTTCATTAATTACTTCATGATTAATGAAAGATGTGTTAGATTGGCTTATGCTGAATTGATAGGTTTTGCTTGAATCTTTTTGCTAGAAGTTCAAAATGATTATTTTGCATAGTTGATGGCATGAATGAATGAATTTTTTATGTTTGATGTGAAGACTCTTCTTTTCATCTATATATTTTAGAATTGTGTACCTTCATAAGTGTGAACCTTGAAGAATGAATTCTAGTAGACTTTATCTCCTCATAGATGTATGATGCTTGCTTTTCTCTTAGTTTATTAGGTTTTTTTTAATCTTTTCTATTAATTTATTTTTTCTTTATTTTCAAGATTTTCAACATCATGTTTAATCTTGGATCAAAATGTCTATATACATTATGAGCTTGTACTACTTTGAAAAAAAGTAAAATTTCTTTTTGTTGGATAAAGATCGAGTATTAATTTTTCACTGATAGTATCCAAATTAATGTGCTGATTTTCATTCAAATCTTTGTTTCCTATCAGAAACTTTCAAATACTACATTAAAATTGTCATGCCTAACTTCTAACAATTAAATTTTAAATGCTACTTTTTTGTTATGAATTTTTATATATTATTATTTTCTCAAGGGACTAATCAGTATTTTATTGTTGAAACCCCACCTTCCCTCCCTCCCCGGCCACACCAACACACACACACACACACATATATATATATATATAAAAAAGCTTATTGATCCTCTGAAGACTAAAATTTTAGCTCAAAGTTTGAAGATTGCTCAAGATTAAATCAATTTTTAGCTCAATGATTTTTTTTTCGATTTCAATTCAAGCCTAGATTGAATCGTGTTGGCTTGTGATTTGGTCGAAATATAAATAATATGTATATTTTTTTATTTTTGATATATAGATATATGTGCACATTTGTATGTGCGTATCATACATTCAAATAAATGCTTTTAAAATAAATTTATGAATTAAAAAAGGAAAGTAGCTTATTTCAAATTGGCTCGAAAACAAATACTTTCGATCCAGAAGCTGATTTCATTCCATCCTACATATGTTCGAGCCAATTTTTAGCTAGGACTAGATTAGATTGCAATGAAAGGAGAAAATAGTCAAATTAAGGAGCATAACATTAGATAATAATTATGTAATGACCCAATTCACATTTATGTGATGTTTTATTTGCTTTTGCTTAACTTGTCTTATACCTAGCTAAATTTTATGATTTTACCTTTATTGGTGCAGTTTTCTAGGTCAACTATTTTAAGAGTGCTCAGAAATGTGTATGCTTATTAGTGGAGTTCCCAATGAAACTCCACTTGCTACACTAATCAGCATCTCACACCAATTACTTAGAGTATTCTAAGATGTTAAAATTTTGAAAATGCTCCTTATAATCAAACTCATAACAGTTGGAACTTTCTGTTCTTTTTTTTATATATAATTGATTCTATAAACTGATTTACTGTTTTATTTTTTTTACACTTTAGTATGCTGAACACCATTGAGCGTTACAAAATGCACGTCAAAGATATGATTGAAAATAGCAGATCAACGGAACAAAATATTCAGGTACAAATGATATTTTGCTTCTATCATAAAATTTTTCGCAACCGTTTAAAGTCATACAAAAGTGAGGATAGAATTTTAAGATTATAATATTGATCATTTTCATCAGCAATTTTGGGTTTTTAACAATTAATGATATGATCTTCTGAAATGCAGCAATGGAAGCACGATTTAGAAGTCAAGGCAAGGAAGATTGAACTCCTTGACGTATCTAAGCGGTGAAAAACTAGAGATTTAAGATTAAAAAATTTCCTTTCTTCCATTGCATACAAGAAAAAAAAGGAAGGTTTTTGCCATCAACATATATGTGACATTCAAAAACTTAAAAATGATTATTGCTGCAGGAAGCTAATGGGTGAAAGCTTGGAATCCTGCTCTGTTGAGGAGCTGAATGAATTAGAGAGTCAGCTCGAGCAGAGCCTAAGCAGAATTAAGAAAAGAAAGGTTGGTAATGGTGACATTGCTTTGATACGTTTTTCATATTACCATTTACAAAACCATTGTATTTTTGGCATCATAATCCTTCAATATTTCAGAACCTTGTTCTAAAAGAGAAGATAACACAACTGAAAGATAAGGTGAGCTATTGATCTCTTTTTAAAACAATGGAAACCAAAGTAAAGGAACATGCTTTTCTAATGAGATTTCAGCCTCATTCCCTTGATATAAATGCAGGAGAGAGAGCTGCAGGAAGAAAATGATTTGCTTAAAAGGCAAGCAAGTCGCTTAGCCTCATCTTTGGTGAGTTAATTACCATTTAACCATTAGCCTTTGCAGTTGGAAGTATAAAATTTGGTTTTATAGGTTCATAAAGCCTGATCTTCCCATATATGCTCCTCAGGAAATTGTTCCTCAAGGTGATAGCCACTATAAGGATGTAGAGACAGAACTGTATATAGGATGGCCGGGAAGATGAAGGACCCAACAACTGTGGAAATGGTGATTTTTTTACACTCCCAGGTATTCAAACGCACCATAAATATTTTGCACAATTGCAAAGTTAACTCAAATGTGTAGCATAATTTGCATTCTCATCCAATTCCTTTGTAATCAACCAACATAAAAATTGTTGTAAAGAATAATAGGGGTATAGAGTGATTGCATAAGCAAATTCCAAAGGTTAGATTCCTGCAGCACAGCCATGTTACTATATTACTTCTTCTGCTCTGCAACTCGATCTGTAAACGTTAGGTTGTGTTCTTGGCTATTAAATCAAAGATTATGAAAGCTAAGATTCAAGTATGTATTGAGGACTTGGAAAGAATATTTTAGGCTCACTTTGGTGCATAAGAATGGTAAGATTAAGTTTTGTATTGAGTTAGATTAAGCTATGGGTATGGATTTTAAAACCTGCAGAAAAGAGTAAAAGAGCAAAAGAAAAGTGCTTTGTGAAATGCAAGCTGTGCAACCATTATCCATCTTATGCTATGTTTGTTAGTTCATTTTAATGATTTTTGCACACCATTTTTTTTTTTTTTCCAAATTTTAAACTTTGAGTAGAAGATGAATTTAAATTTGCTAAGTTAGGCACTCTTAGCGAAAGGAAATGGATACAAATGGTGAAATTATCAGAAGTGACTATGTTAGGTTGGGCTCATTTTGTTGGGTTTTTTTTTTTTTGATAAAAAATATATATTGAGAAGCTGTTACCAGAAAATTACTACATGAAATAGTTTAAGGATCCATTTGGGGGCAGTTTTCTTATAATTTTTTATTTCTTTGGAAAATTGTTGGGACAAACCCATTTTTCATTGCTGAAGAGGGGATATACAAAAAGAACATAAAAAGGGGGAAAATTAAGAAGTTAACATAACATTAAGAATCTATATAAAACAAATTGAAAAACAACCTAAAAAAAAGGGCTATGGGAGAATAGAAGAGATAAAACTAGAAGGCACGAAGGCTAGTAAGATTTAGGAAGTAGCATGAGACTTTTCGCAAAAATAGCCAATGAAGAACGAGCACAACCCAATTGCCTAGGCTATGAGACTTCCATTCTTTCATATTTTGGAAACTTTATGTTTTGATTTATTATGAAGATGTGTTGTTGAATGAATAGAAAGAAAGAAATTTTTTCTCTTGGTCCGATCTCCGTTCCCGTCTCGCACTTGCGAGCTAACTGGGCCGGGTCGTGACATCCATGGAGGCAGCAAACATAAAAAGAAGAAACAGCCGGGAATAAATCAGCCAGCAAAACACGTAGATTCATGGAATCTAGAGAAGCCCGCCAAGGATGCTAATGCAAAGCCAAGACCATCCATGGAAGCAAGAAGGAAGCTTGCTACATTATATTCGTCCAAAATTAAATCTTCAGCAAACAAAGAAAAGCACCAACACCAGAGAAAGGATTCATTAGACCAGCCTTATAATCAAAATAGATTTGAAAAAAAGGAAACAAAATCGTATGTTAGTCTAGATATTTTAAAAATTGCTGAGAATTCTTCCAACAGTACGATTTAGCCTCAATGGTTTTCTTAAGCTGCTAAAATAAGAGAATGTGCCGCCATTTCTCCACCCATTACATTCACACCAAAGTAAATAGAAGCACAGATAATCATATAGAAGAAATTTTTTGTAGCCTTAGAGAATTGAGAGTATTCTTTGATATAATTAAAAGTATGCATGATGTTAGGTAGAAGTAGAAAAATAAGAGCCCCAGGAAAGAGGACCATCAAAACTTTAAAAGAAAAATCCCATTAGAAAAAGAGATGAGAAGTGAATTCATTGCGGCTGTTACAAAAAAGGCAAAAGAGGCTGAGCTTGATTTGCCATATTTAAACCCCAATCATAGTAAGCCAAGCAAAAGAGAAAAACCGAATAGAAGCTTTCTTGTTCCACATAAAGCTAAACCAACTAGCAACCTCCATATCTTTTTAAAAATCTTCCATAAAGAATTTAAAAGTAGGATGTTCAGAACCAAACCAAAGATGATAATCAGTAGCAGAATTATAAATCAGATTAGTAGAAATAACATTATGTAGAGAACTAGAAAAAAAAATGGGGGAAGGATCAATTACCACCAGAAACCAACACAGAAAGTCTAGCATCCAGAAAAAATTTATCTAAAGGGGAAGAACTCATAAAGAAAATTTCCAGAGCACTAGGGATCCCACTACGGGGCAGTACAAATGCTATCAATAACCTTGGCTTAATCAACCCAACAACTTTAACCAATTGCTTTCAACAGGCAGAAAGCTTCTCAGAAATGGGCTTCCAAAATGAAATATAAGAATTTTTAAACCAACAGTTCAGAAGAGAATCAAAAGAAATACATCTCTAGATCAAAGCAGTGGAGTAGTCATGTGTCAAAGCTAAAATGGAGGGAAGACCTAGGTCACCATATTTCTTAGGCAAACAAGTTTTTTTTTCCAAAAAATAAGATGCAAATTTTAACCTTGAGCATCACCATGGAAAAAGAACCGAGCACGAAGCTTATCAATAAACTTGCAATATGACTTATGTAAGATAGAGCCTCTAATCCAATAGCCAATAGAGTTACAAATACTAAAATTACTAAATTAGAATCTACCAGCAAAAAGACAAAAGCTTGGCCTTCCATCCATCTAACATGTTGGAGATTTTTGGTATAAGAGGAAGAAAATCAACAACCCTAAGCCTCCTGAAGGAGATATGTATCCCTAAATAATTGAAGATACTCATCCCCAAAGGAAAATTGAGAATGCTAGTAATGCCCATAGAGTAAGAAGAATTTTTAAAGAAGCAAATTGAGCTCTCATCTTGGTTAATCTTAAGACCTGAGACTCCTTAAAAAATTTGTGACTTATCAATCAAAACCTGAGAATTCCACAAAAGACTTTTTGAAAAACCAACAAGCCATCAGTATAAAGTAAATGAGAGATAGTAGACCTATCAGATGAAATCCCATCAAAAGGGACAGACCCATTATGGCAATCCATCAGATTAGAGAAAGCTTTCAAAATGATACACAATAAAAAAGGGGAAAGGGGCAGAACTTTTATTTGGTCCGGTGAACATACGTAGAGCTACGTTAGGCCGTCACTAAGATCGCAGGCACAAAATGTGAAATACCGAGCAATACCAACAATAACGAGAAATAGCATTATGTGAAGACAAAATACCGAGTTATACCGAGCAATACCGAGTAATCCCAAAAAATACCGAGTTTTTTAAAAAACTCGGTATTTTTTGGGATTACTCGGTATTGCTCGGTATAACTCGATATTGATCTTCACAGAGCGGTATTCTTCGTTATTATCAAATAATACCTAGCAATACCGATCAAATACCGAGCAAAAATCGAGTAACAATCCTCTGACCGAACGTAGAGCTACGTCCGATCAGAGGTCGTAATAAAAGTTCAAAGGGGCAACCCTGCCTAAGACTTGAAGTTGAATTAAAAAACCCGTGAAGGCCACTATTATAGAAAATGGAAAAATAAACTTTATCAATGCAAGCATAGACCCGTGACACAAAAACCTCAGGGAAATTTTTTTGAAGCATCCTATGAATAAAATAGTTCTTGGAAATTGTATCAAAAGCTTTAATTATATCAATTTTAGCACAAAAAATTTAGACTTCTCATGAGCATTGAATTTAGAGAGAATTTTAGAGACTAGAATAATATTATTAGTGCCAATTCTACCCTGAATGAACCTAAATTAACTTGGATGATGTTGACCCATATACCTCAAATTATGCGAAAAAGGATCCAAACTAGTGAATAAAGCGATAAGCGCTTTGGCGCCACACATCACTTGAAGGGTCAAACGACCTCTAATTGCCAAACGAACGGCGACATTGTGATCAGAACATCGAATTTTGCTAGGTCGAGACCCCTCGCAATCGAATCAGATGAGATCGGTCAAAAAGGACGACCGACACCCGAAATTAAAGCATGGCGCTAATCAAGCGATGTCGGATCGACTAATAGACTTTGTCATTGCATCCGGAATGTTGCCAACCTACGAAAATTATATTTTGTTTATTCAATTTGAAGCATCTGGATTGGTGGCATGGATCCTGAGGCAACAACGTGAATTACGAGAAAAATTGTCCTCGTCGCTATCCAAATGATGTTCGTTCGCAAAATAGAGTTCGCTATTGTGACCAGAATATCGTGAATACTCAAGAACCATATTTTTTATGTTTAATTTGGATCATCCAGAATGGTGGCATGAATCTCAAGGTAAAAATGCATATCGGGGAGAATAGGCCTCGGCATTATCCAAACAAAGTTCGATCGCGAAACGAACTCCACCACTGCATTCAGAACATCCCAAATACTTAAGAATGACAACAAATTCGTGCAAATTAAAACATGCAAGGAGGTCGACACGCATCCCGAGGCAAGCGCAAATTTCAAGGAAAAATTTGTTCGGCGCAATCCAAACGATGTCCGATGGGAGAGTGAGGGCTCAAGTGAGGGAGGATCAACATCAGATCTTGGGTTTAGAGGATTTGTGCGAGTGAGGGCTCGAGGAAGCTTGAGAAACCCCAAGATGGAGAGAGGATCCCCAGACTCCATAATAAGGATTTCAAGGAATTAGGTGTCCTACGACAGAGCCAGAGGAAGGCTAAGAAAGGGAGAGAAAGAGATAGGGCAGCGGCTATGGTTTCAGAGTTCCCAGAGCAAAAACCTTATTCACATATATATTTTTTATAATCTCTCAAAACGGACACCAAAATTGCATTCTATAATTAGCAAATATTTGACAGAACAAATCATTTTTCTTAGCCTTATAAAGCTTATTGCTGCGATAAAGTAACTAAAAAGTCCAACCAAATGATCCTTTCATAATAAAGTCAAAATTTTACCTTATCGCTATTCCATTCCCTTCATTTTCTATCCATCAAGAAAACCTTTTCCTATGAGCAGAGGTTAGTTAAAGGTTATTGTCTGCTAAAATTAGCAAACAATAGAGGTCATCTTATTTGCTGTAAAATTTCTTACTGAAATTAGTCAACTCATGAAGTTTCATTGGTAATATTGTGCTGTTATATATACTGAGTTGTCTATTATAAAAAATTTATTTGTCAACCTCATTACTTAGATTAATTTCTAATATATGACATTTTTTATGTCTTCTTAGGTCTATTTCTACTCTTCTTAGGCTTCGTTTGAGACGGTTTTTTTATTGCTTTCTAAAACAGAGTTTTAGTACAAAAATAAAAAAAATTGTACTAAAACTCCGTTTTAGAAAGCAATAAAAAAGCCGTCCCAAACGAACCCTTAATCTGGGTCGAATTTAATACATCTACTCTTCTGAGCAGGTAATCTGAAGTCAAGTGTTTTATATGATCAAGCCATCTAAAAATATATAACTAGTA